TTTTTATAGCTCTTGAGATAAGTCATTTAAGTGGGATAGACACAAAAATTCATCAAAAATCGTCATTAAAGGATCATTACTCCTTAAGGAGTCATCCTGTGGTTTTGGTCACTTTGGTTTTTTTTGTAAAATCTATTCTATACTGCTGATCATTTTTGCTGTTTCCAGTTTTTATTCATCTGTTATAGTTCTTGAAATAATAGGCAAAAACATATAAATTCATCAAAAATCATCATTAAAAGACTACACAAATGTAGAACTCCTTAATGAGTCATTCAAAGTGTTCAGTCATATCGGCATTTTTGTATATCTTGTATTGCTGATCATTTCTGCCTTCGACTTTCTAATATAGTTTTTGAGTTAATAGACAAAAACATGAAAATTAGTCAAAAATAGTCATTTAAGAGCAATTTTTATTTTACATTCATGTTCTACAAATTGACTGATCGAAGAAAAAAAACACAATATATCATTGATACCTGAATCAATCACCCCAAGTTTGGTTGAAATTGGTTCAGCAGTCTCAGAGAAGATACAAGATTGAAGAAAAATTTACAAAAACGATGACAACATAGAGGGATGCTAAGTGATGGCAATAGCTCACGAGCCCTTTTGGCCAGGTAATCTCAAATAAACCAGAGAAAAAAATCATCAATGACACTTTTAAGAAATAAAAAATTGTAAGATAACTATGTAAAGTTCAAGAACTCTTAAGAAAACAATATGAACATGTACATCTAAGAGTGTTTGGGACTTGTGTACCATATCAACATGACTTTTATGATTTTAAATAATATTTATATGGCTAAAAAAGCTTACGGGATTAAAGTAAAAAATCTGATGTGATATATATGTATGAAGAAAAATTTCTGGCACATTTGATGTTAACAGTAGTGAAAAGATGGTAACTGACAGTTGATAAAAAGGCCATTTCCATTAATTCCACCCTGAACTAGCTGGTAAAGTGTCAAAAAAGATACATGAACATTTCTATAAGATCTACAGTATATATAAGTTTTCCTTTGGAAATGCAAGACAAAGATTTAATAGCATTAATTATGGAGAAGAGTGAAGCAAAGTGACTAGTGTGGCTTGCGAAAATTCTAAAATCAATCATACATGTAATTTACATATAATTTGGGCATTCACTAGGATTTACCTCCTTTTGATTGCATTGTAACCATGGTATAGCAGAGCTCCTGCTACACTTTTGTCACATGTTAGACATGTTCATGATGTTAGAGAGTTTGAGGTAATGACAACACTTTTTATTTAATCTCCTCTGACACCCTGCTGAAAACTTATGGTATGATGACATTTTCAACCATAAGTTTATATTTCATGCAGAGGACATGATTTTGTTCCAATTTATGACTTACTTTCTGACTTAATTATGTGACTGGTGTATGTAAATGAGATCAGACTATCTCAAAGCATCTGTATAATATAACCATTATTACCAGAAATATTGTTTTCCACAGTTTAACGGGAAAGCATGATTCTTATAAGAAAATCACACATGTCTCCTCTGGGACTTGAATTCAGGACCTCTGCCATCTCTAACCAACGAAGTTTTTTACGTTAGGTGCCAATCCTGTAACCAGAGAGCATGATTAGCCTTCCAAAATTTTTAAGTGTACCAGCAGGGATTTGATCTAGGAACCCATGACACAGTAATTATATAAGCCACTGCTCTACCAACTGAACTAAAGCCTTAAGGAGTACTTAACTGGGCAGATAATGAAAGTCAGATTATAAATACAATGTATGTCTTCTAGGTAAGGGGAAGCACCAACAGTATCATGAATAGGGAAAATATCAATGATTTTAAATGTCTGTTTGAGTTACACTCTTGGACTGCTGACCACACAGAGCGTCATTGTACTTTCCCTTGGTCAATAGAAGTTGAATGTAGAAAGGAACTGTTATTTGACCAACAAAAGACGAAATTATTGTGAAGAGCCATGCAAGACATTTCAGCCACAATGCCAGTTCTGCCATAGTTGTTTTGGTCACTGTCATTTTGACCATACTCCTAGTTCAGCCATACATTGTAAAGTCATTTCCCCAATGTTTTTTTTCTGTTACAAAAAATTTTAAGGATGGAAAATGTAATGGTTTCTACAAACAGTTATGATGGAAGAAACAAAAGAAAATATACATTTTAACTTTACCTAATCATTGACAAGAATTTGTATCAGTTATGAGAATATTTGAGATATAGTGATTATAAATAAAAAAATATTTTTTCTAAATCTAAAAGTAAAAAAGTTGTTAAGTCCTCATTATAATGATCCCACTGTTCATTTGTTAATTGTTTATTATTATTTATTAATATATTTAACTTATAATTAAGGTTTTGTCAAGTAGTTGATGATGATATAAAACATACCATGTTTCTCATATACTAACATCTTATGGAACAAAAATTTACATGAAATTTTTTTTTTTCTTATATATTCTTTCTTCCATGAATGACAATTGTTTATTTTCAAAAAATTATATTATTTTCCCTTAAAATCATGTGTGACATAAAAAAGTTTTGTCACAGTCCTCTTGTTTTAGAGCAGATGCACACTTTATGACTGTGAGTGACAATGACTTTTTGAATAATTATGTTCGCCATATTGTTATACAAGGAACTTGCATTCAAGACACACAATTCAAATTCCCGAAGTTCAATAGTACATTTATTTAGTAAAAAAGACAGTTGTTAATTTCTGTGTCATTTGGTCTCTTGTGCAGAGTTGTCTCATTGGCAATCATACCACATCATCTTTTTTATATATATCATAAGATTATAGACTATAATTTTAAAAAACAGTATTACGCCGTACAAAACAGAGTTTTATGGTAATATCTATTGGTTCTAAGTTCATATTGAGATTTTGTGAGTTCTCAGGAAATAGTTGTACTGCGAAATGACCTATCAGCATGATCAGTGATTTTTGCACTATCAAATGATTAATCAAATGAGGGATTGTTACTCATTGGCAGTGTCTGCGCCACCCGGCATCCGGGAACGAGTAGCCAAATTGGCCTTCGCAGGCTACGCGTAACTGCTTCCGGTTTTATAAAAAAATCGAGAATGAAACATGAAATATGGGGAAATTATCGCAATTAGTGAATACATTGATTACTACTCAGAAGTTTTATAAATATTTATATAGTAAGTGAACAGTTTTTCTCAGTTAATAAATAGTCTAAAATGAAGAGTGTGATATATATGTTGGGAAGACATTTAAAAGTTATAATGAATTGAAACAATTTGTTTAAAATTACCAATCAAATGACTACATCTGAATCAATTGCCGCTTTAGAGAAAAGAAGACCTGGAAACAGGAAAATCAAAGACGAATTAAAGTTTACTATGCTCAATTTTTCCTGTATTCACAGAAGAAAGACGAAAATGTAAATATTCAATGCATCAAAAAATGTTTTACCTCTAAAGCGTTTGAACAACTTAAAATTCTGATCAATGAAAGAAAAGAATTGTGTGAATGGATATGTATCAAATGTAAAAAAAAAAAACCTACACGATCAGGACACGTTGGCGTGTATTTGCTGTTTAGACTGGCAACATTTGAAATGTGCAGGGTAGAAATATGTGCCAAAACAATCCTATTTGGATACGTAAAAATTGTTCCATTGAAATATTTATTACATGAATCTTTTAAAATTGGTTTAACATGTATAATTATCATTTGCGTCTATTTTTATACCGAATTTGATTTTATTACTTGCTTCTTTAATTTATGTATACAGTCACTCAAGCTTTATTTTTAGTCATTTTAGATATTTTAAAACTTTGGTTTCTGTTTTGCATTTAACTAGAATATTATTTTCCCACTCGAGGTTTTCACATAGTTTTTTCCAAATTCAGTATAATTTTATTCTTTTAACATGTTTAATGTGCATTTACATTTAATTTCAAATTTTTATCATGTTTTCTTTTACAGGGACTGTACAGTTTTATTCCTTTAGTGTGCATATAATTTGCAATTGTTTATTTATGTATTTTTAACTAATAATACAAATCAAAAAATATTAGTTGCCATTCTCTTCTCTGAATTCACAAAATCTGCATATTACTGATAATTTCCGTGTATATTTCACATTTCTTCCCGATCCGATGACATTTTATTATAAAACCGGATGCAGGTACTCGTAGCGGAGGAAGGCCAATTTGGCTACTCGTCCTCGCATGCAGAGTTGCGCAGTCACTGCCTCACTGATTTGGGGAATAGGGGTAACACGAATGACCGAATAACACTTGAAATTTTAATATTATCACATATTGGTGACTTTTAAACATTGATTATTAAATAATATTATATCATGTGTGTATTTTATAACTTTAAAATGATTAACAGAAAGCAGGTAAGTTCATAAAGATCGTTTTAAATTTAGTGTGTACATCCAACATGGCGACCATTGTTGGATGTACACACTATATTTAAAATAATCTTTATGAACTTACCTGCTTTCTGTAAATCAATTTTAAGTTATAAAATACATTAATAGTATACTATTATTTATTAATCAATGTTTAAAAGTCACCAATATGTGCTAATATTAAAATTTCAAGTCTTATTCGGTCATTACAAGTGTTATTCTGATAATAACGGTGTAATTCGGTCATTCAAGGTACCGGGGGAATAGTACACATCCTGCCTATGGCCAAGCTGGTTGTGTGCCTGAAACATCTCAAAAGCCTGTAAATAGAATACTAATGAAGGGAAAAAAACTTAACTTTATTCTCTGGAGACCAGCTGGACCCCCTCCCCCATTTTTAAAAACCAAATCTGTTGAAGGGTTTTGTATTTGCGGGTCCAAAACGGGGATCTGTCATCAAGCAACTGTGTTACAGGCTACAACCGGCACTTTTCTTTCTGGCTGGATTGTTTTGTAATTTTGATATATATTAATCGGAGCATCCTCTTCTAATCGATACCAATAATTCTAAACTTTTTTTTTCTGAGAAAGCACTGTGTAAATACCTGACTCTGCTTATATATCTGATTTTGAGAAATTGTTCTTCTGTAATCAAAATGATGTAGAATAAGGGTCTAGCATTTAATACGCGAGTAAATATAATTTATGACCCAAGATCCTAAAAGATATGTGTTCATTACGGATCTTTCACAATAGAAATAAATCTTTTCACATCACTGTTTATTGTATATATACTATTAATGTATTCAGTATATATAAATATATTTTAAAAAAATCTCGTCTTGTACCTGTTATTTTTTTGTTAATATATAGAACAATACACCTTATCGCTATTTATCCGCCATTACTGGACATCACACAAGTTCCCGTAAAATTTTGACGTCATAATAGAAAATATCTGACGCCACAATGGAAAAGTGATTGTTGTATGACGTCAAAAGTTCGAGCGGGACTGATTCTCGGGTCAAGCGGGATTAGCGATAAGGTGTATCAGGAACAATAGTGACGTTTCAACGACCTACGAGAGCGTGGATAAGGTTACAGATTAGAGAATGCTGGACCAGAGGCATATACACACATGAATATAATTTATGTGTATATATGTCTCTGGCTGGACCAAGCCAGAGATATATGTATATGTCTCTGACCAACCATATAAAGAAACGTGAGAGAAAATGTGCCAAAATATTTCGGTAAGAAAAAGGAATAATGGGGTACTAGAATATCTGAAAGATTATGTGTCGCCTACCTAGGTATATGCGCATAAGTTCCTCAATGGAGCAAGGCCGTAACTACATTAAGGCAAATGCCTCATGTTGGAAATTTAAAAAAAAAAAAGTTGAAACTAACATGACTAAAGCTTGTCTTCATATCAATTTTTTTGTTTGCATGGAGAGTGTCTTGCAAGAAGCAAGTTTTGTTCTCCCTCTGACGTCGCCCCTGTTTTTTCGGGATCCATATGTTTCGTTGATTGTCTATTGTTTGTCGTTATGTGTCTTATTTGTTCCCGGGTTTGTCTTTTGTTCATTGATTGCCCTACTTTATGATTATAATTTATTTCATCTCATTCAGTGTGACTTTGAGTTTTAACTGTTTTGAACGTATAGCCAAGATGTCATTAGAAACTTGGTTAAATAAAATTGAGAATGGAAACGGGTAATTTGTAAAAGAGACAACAACGCGACCAAAGAGCAGAAAAACAGCCCAAGGCCACCAATGGGTCATCAACACAGCGAGAACTGAAATCTCGAAAACCGGAGGCAGGCTTCAGCTGGCCCCTAATGACTGGTTCTTTGAAAAGGAAAGAAATCAATGGTAAGTACAGGAGTCCCCACCATGTTTCTATAATTTGAATGATTAGAATCAATTCAAACTAAACAAAGCATACGTGTAAATAAAACTGGTTAGGATCTGCATTGGATTAAGAAAATCATGTACGGGTTTCGGCACTGGCACAACATGTTTCTACGTATTTATTTAAAACTAAACCACTGCGGAGAACAATTTTTAAAAACGTATTTCTGACATACCGCCCGATTTTCACTTAGCTCAAGATATCCTTAAACTATTATTCAGTTACGACGAAATTCTTAATGAATAGTTAACGCTTGTTTGTGTAAGGAACGCATTGATAATAAAAATAAAAAAAATATCGAACTGATTAATAGCATAGTCGAAGTGGTCGGTAATGACCATTGCTTAGTCAGTTTGATAAAAAAAAGTGGGTGTTATGCCAAAAAGACAGAAATCAATGCAAACAATTTGGTTGTTGTCGTTAAATATATCCCCGACTCATATAAAGGGGGCGGGGTGCGCATTAACATAAAATTCCTTATCCGCCGCGCCTGCTTGTATCAAAGTTGCCATACAATTCGTCTTTCAGCGCAAAATACACATACATGTAGTAGAGCGTGCGTGTCTCCATCACATGATACATAGATTTAAAAAGGCAGACATATAGCCTATTGACCAATATAATAGAATATCTTCTTTTCATGTGTTTCCAACAGATTTGAATTTTATTAGCGTGATTAGGTTCACTTACATGTTTTGGGTGATCAGAGCATTAAAAATTCACCAGGTTGAATCAGATATTCGCATATAGTGGGTGATGCATGCATAGTAGTAGACGCTTAGCCTTTAGACACACCTTGATTTGTCTCTTCTTGGTTCCTTGTTTTATTATAGCATCAATATGCCACTGCCACCTTAATTCATCAGATAACAAAACTTAGAATGTTCTTGAGGCAGTTACGATGAAAATACTCATATCTTTACTTAACAACCAAACACGACATTGTATAGCGAAACGAATGCTTTAGAGGAGATTCGTTTTGCTGTGCAGCATGCATACATTTGCATTCTTTCTGAAAGGGGACATTGAATAAGAAATCTAATTAAAATATAGTTCTCTGATTTCGTTATACTCACGTGAAACACACACATATATATATATATATATAGATTGCCTAACAATGTAATTTTAACACACTATTTAGTATGTAAATATAAGAATGTTTAAAATATTTACAAAATGATGAAAATAAACGCAATATTTCGCTAGACTAACTAGCTTTATCAAGCGTGCATCTATCCAGGTGAAATCGGATGTAGATGATAAGAAACTTTTGCAGCTCAATGTATATGTTGCACTTGAATTTAGCTGCCTTGAAAATAATACATAATTTGGATGAAGTTCAAGATTTTCACAAAATTGGTAGTTGAAGTTAGCAACGTCCATTGGCCAATATTACAGGATAAAAAGGACGATGCTGTGTACTAAATTATTCTTTATCTTTCCTGTATCTTTTCTCATCTTTTTCGTTAAGACCATCAGGTTCTAAAGTGTGGAGTTGGTGGATCCAAAAATTGTCTCTTCTCCTTCTCGCCGTGGTGTCCCACTTCTCTACCAAGCAATACTATACTTGCATCCATGGACGTGTCTTCTTTATATACCAACATTCCACAAGACGAAGGAATAGCAGCGTGTGAAGAGGTATGGAACACTCGTAGTGAAATAAATCCTCCAACTGAGTGCCTTGTTACACTTCTGAAACTAGTGCTAGAGAACAACAACTTCTCTTTCAATGAAAAACATTATCTCCAGATAGACGGTACTAGTATGGGCACAAAAATGGCCCTGTCATATGCCAACATATTTATGGGCCAACTAAAAACGCCTCTTGGCTAGTGCTCCATACCAGCCCTTATCATGGTTCCGATTCATTGACGATATTGATTTCAAATGGACAGATTCACAAGAACATCTTAATGAATTTCTAGGACACTGTAACTCTTTCCACCATTCAATAAAATTTACATATGAATCATCTATGGAGAAAATAAACTTCCTCGACACTACGAGTTACATCAAGAACGGAACCATTATAACGGACCTTCATACCAAACAAACGGACAAACATCAATTCCTTTCTCCTAAAAGTTGCCATCCTAAACACTGCTCCCGTGGCATCCCATTCAGCCAGGCATTGCGAATCAAGAGAATATGCTCTACTGAAAATACGCAAAATGCTAGACTAGGACAACTACGTAAACATCTAGTTGTTCGCGGATACAATAACAACATCATTGATAGCGCTTTCGAAAGAGCAAACAAAACTAGTCGCCAAGAACTTCTAGAGTACAAAGATAAGAATAAAGCAGCTAACAGAACACCCCTTGTACTCACTTACCATCCTGATTTTAAAAATGTGTCTTCCATTGTTCAGAAGCATTGGAAAATTATAGAAAATGATTCAAATCTTAAAAAAGTATTTTCCTCACCACCAGTCATGGCCTTCAGAAGACTTAAAAACATCCGTGACAAATTAGTGATATCTGTATTAGCAAAGCAGCCTACTCCATCTCCCGGTTGCTACAAACAATGTGGTCGAAGGAACTGCTTGTGTTGTAAAGCTGCCAATACAAGCAGTTCTTTCATCAGCTCCGTTACTAAACAAAATTATACCATCTACTCAAATTCCAACTGTAAAACGGAGAACTCAATTTATATATTAACATGTGACACATGTGGCATTCAGTATGTGGGAGAAACAATGGACAAATTTAATATTCGGCTCAATAACCATCGTTCATGGTACAAAACCAACAAAAACTGTCCTCTCACAAGACATCTTCGTTCAACGAAACATTCTTTTGATAATGTTACCTTCCAAATCATAGAAGTCAACAACGAGTGGGACACCACGGCGAGAAGGAGAAGAGGGGTCTAAATACAGCACAAACAACATTTTCCAAATAAATATGAAACGTCTGAATAATAGTCAACGATCTGTCCCACGAGGGCGCTGGATCGTTACGAGTAACGATACATGTACACAATAAATAAAATGAGTATATATATATATATACAAGTCTAAATTGAAAACAACGTTCAAACCTATATATATATATATGGCTGTTTGTACATATAATTATATATATACGGGCACGCGAGTTAGTATGGATCAGATTTTTAATCAGATTGATTAAAAAATGATGCCTTGTGTATGAAAAGTGCCACGCTATATGAACGTTAAGAACTTTTCCTCAAAGGTGGCCTGTTGGAAGGTAACATCTGAGCAGTGTCTGAGCAGAATGTCAGAATAACCCGGGTTACGTCAAAGAACGTCTCGTCCTTTTTCAAAAAAAAAAAATCATCGGAAGATACCAAGATCTTGTTGATAAATATTCCGCGTATCAACTTCACAAATAATACATGATGGTCTTAAAGTATAGATTCTAGTTACTGACGTTGTTTATCATCTGAACTACGTCTTATAGTGTTCTTTTATTTGTCTTTGTAAATTATTAACCTTTACTGTTTAGTCCATTTTTGGTAATAACCTTTTGGTGTGGCTCGGTACTTATACATCCCGCCATTGTGTTATTGTGCTATGGTCATTTTTTTATCTTCTTGCCTTTCATTTTTGCTTATGTGCTTTGTCTATATGCCATTTTGTTTTTCTTTGTTGACATATTTGTTTGTTTTTATGTTGATTAACATTATAACACAATGTTGACTACTGTTGTCAATATAATGGAATTTTATGCGACTGTCATACAAGTGAGAAAATTAGCTAGCTATCAAACCCGGGTTTGTCCACCATTTTCTACATAATGAAATGCCTGTACCAAGTCAGGAATATGACAGTTGTTTTCCATTCGTTTGATGTGTTTGAGCTTTTGATTTTGCCATTTTTAAAATAAGGGGCTTTCCGTTTTGAATTTTCCTTGGAGTTCTGTATTTTTGTTATTTTACTTTTTCCTAACCAACATGATACCTTCTTTTCAAGCGGCAATCAAAATTCTTATCCTTTATCTTACCTGTTTGATTTATTATCAATTTGTTCTTGCCCTAAATAAGCATAAGATATTTGCCACTGAACGCAAACAAAAAAACTTACATATTTGATTTATTATCAATTTGTTCTCGCCCTTAATAAGCATAAAATATTTGCAACTGAACGCAAACAAACAATAATAAGTCAATCAAGCAACAGCCTTCTTTTTCTCTGTTTCATATTTCACATTTTTGTTTTGAATCTAGATTTCCAAATAAAAATGTTTGTAAATTTTGATTTATTGTAAGAACAATTTGTCCTTCTGTCAACATGACAAGAAAGACATAAAATTAAGTACAAATGTAAAAAAGTTTCACTTAAAAAAACCTATGACAAACTTTCCCAGTTGGTATTTGAAGACTTTGAAAATTTAATTTTTCTGTGACATTAAGTATTTTCTTTGCAAGATATTGTGTGTTTGGTAATATCTCAATGATACTCAATTTTTACAAATTACCTGAAACTGAATAGGCATTTCCGTGTTGAAGACCGTACTGTGACCTATAATGGTTTACTTTTATAAATTTTGACTTGGATGGAGAGTTGTCTCATTGGCACTCATACCACATCTTCTTATATCTATTTGTTGAATTTTGTTTTAAAGCTCCAGTCATTTTACAAAATGATTAAGTATTTTAATCATTTTATAGAATGCCTGTCAAGGCTAAGCATTTTGTAAATTGCCTGAAGACGACCGTGAGATAAAATCAAATAGCATAAAACCTCCAAGACCTACAAGGTGTCACCAAATGGGGCCGATACTGGTTATTGCAATTCCAATCCAATAAATGTAACATACGTCGAATGAACCATAAGAAAACATCTATTAGCATTCATTTCTACTATAATATGTTTCTCTATGAATTGTTTCATCTTTTTCATGTCAGGGCATTTAAATAGCCGACTATACGGTATGGGTTTTTCTCATTGTCAAAGGCCGTACTGTTGCCTATAATTGCTTACATCCACTTTGGTGGATAGTTGTCTCATTGCCAATCATATCACATCTCCTTATTTTTATATAGTCCCATTCTTGAATCAGTTCAAAATGCAAAATATTTTAGTGACAATTTCAATATCATTAAATCTAAAACAAAACAAATTTTTCATCCTAGCCCCTTAGAAATCAAATGGTAGCTCCCTAATGATAGCTTTTTTTAGAATTTCGCCACTTTCTAACACTGCCCAAAATTCTACATACACAGCTAACTGAAATACTTTCATTATAATATTCAAAAATTAATTTGAATATGTATGATGACCGTTTACTTTTTGTTCTAGTCTTTATAAACCTAAGGCCACTAGTGCTTTTAGGTACTTTATGAGTCATTTTCAAAAAATGTCGAATTTTGAAATTTTGAAATTGATTTTTTATTTATTCAAACAACCCTCGTCATAAGCAAATCAAAACAAACAGTACTTATAGAACAACATATACAAAGATGCAATCTTGATAATGTCATACAAGAACATATTGAAACATGTTTTGATAGGTGGTGCCATATTTTGTCTCTCCTGTAACCATGTTCAAAAGATATTTCGGGTTAATTAGAAAAGGTTTCGATAATATTTTAAGCTTGTTTTTCGTAGCCAATAAGATGGTTTTCAAGAGTAAAAACTTCTATATATATTCATTCTGTTAAATAATAGTTTGTATGCCAATTTCCACGTTGTACTGAAAAATGTCCCTAAAAATTGGTTTTCAAAGGTTATAAAAATAACCACCAGTAATGCAAGTCTAACTTGATAGCAATCCACAATGTTCAGCATTTTATCTCTCTTTTCTATCCTGTTACCGATAGCAATATTTCACCTGCAAATCCTGAATTGCGAAGATTATGACGTTATAACCTTTAGATGAGTTCAAACAATGAAACATTTCATTATGTGTGCAACTATATGTTATAATAAACTTTTTAAATACGTTTCTGTCTACTATTGTCTATCCTGTTACTGTAACCATAGCAACCATAGTAACAGGATAGACAAATTTCTTAATTTTTGAATGCTATGTTTATTATTAATGTTCTGACTCATAGGTCCTACAAACTTTCATTTAAACACTTACAACTGTATTTTCCATTAGAAATAAAAAAAAAAAAAAAAATAGCTTAGGTGTACTGAAAATTCGACATGTTTTGAAAATGACCCTTATCATGCAGTGAATACAAAATTAAGAAAATTCTCAAAAATTCATTTTCACCTGTATGTAAAATTATTTCATATTTGTCTACCCTCAGGTTGGGAAATAAAACTGAGAATGGAAATGGGGAATGTGTCAAAGAGACAACAACCCGACCAAGAGCAGAAAACAGCCGAAGGCCACCAATGGGTCTTCAATACAGCGAGAAAATCCCGCACCCGGAGGCGTGCTTCAGCTGGCCCCTAAACAAAAATATGTACTAGTTCAGTAATAATGGACGTCACACTAAACTACGAAATATATAAAAGAAACTCAAATTAAAAATCATACAAGACTAACAAAGGCCAGAGGCTCCTGACTTGGGACAGGCGCAAACATGAGGCGGGGTTAAACATGTTTTTTTGAGATCTCAACCCTCCCCCTTTACCTCTAGCCTTATGTTCAGTACTGTATTTTTTTGTCCAATCACAGTGTTCAGATACATTGACTTTTAAAAGTAGGCTACTACACAAAAGAGCAACCTAAATTCCGGAATGTAAATACTACCGTGCCACCTAGAGCATCACTGAAGAAACATTAATTGTCGAAATGCTTATCTGGTGCAGTTAAGTTGATAATTCTATTGTTATTATCCCTATGTTGATATCGTTGACAGACCTGAAATTTTCAAGCATGGCTGTTATATTAAACAACGGTAAGTGAGACATAAACCCCGTTGTAATTTCTATACTTTATGATACGATGTTTATGTGTGAAGCAAATGTTCGTTTCTTCTTTTTAATCAAATGAACCTTCGGGTTACAATTTGTAATGCGATAAAACTAAAGCACTTTCCTTTACATTTGAAATAAAACATCATATCAATAATTTTCCTTTTACTAATGGTTAAAATAAGCAAAGACACTCTGAGTAAAACATTCCTGTTAAGAGTTATAATGATATCGTGCTTTCGTTATTGATCATGTTTGTCAATTGCGAATTGAAATGTGTATTTGAAGTTAGGGTGTAGTTATTGTTTAACAAACACTATGTAAACAAAATTATCAATGTTGATTATGGCAGTACAAATGATAAGCGGCAGTAAGGCCAGATTCGATAGCCCCTTGTATCCATCCATTAGAGTACGAGATTGCTTCTCCAGCTAGATAGATTGGATGTTCTGGTTTCATCAAAGTTTTCATTCCATTGTTGTACTGATATGGCTGGAGACAGGAGTGTGCGCCTTGTTCTGCATTATCGCTGAACCAAGCCTGAACCATTCCAACTTCAAACTCGCTCTCCATCTCAGGATGAATTTTTGTGATTTCTCGTACTGCGCTATCAATTGCTTCTGCGTGTGGCTGAGAGCCGAATATGATGGCGTCTTGTTCCCATATATAGACAACCAAAAGCCCCCTTTCGTTTGGTGGAGGTGGGTCATTATGACTAGGATAGTGTAACTGACCAATTGGTAGATTAGTTTTTAAGAATCCAACTTGACCAACTTGTTTTTCCCAGAATCTGCTTTTGCATTGGAGAACCACTTTAGTAGATGATCGATAATGAATATTTTTTAAGACACTGCGTTGATGTTCTGGAATATCACCTTCTATCTGCCGTAGAATGGCCAATGGGACCGTAAGAATAACGGCATTTGCTGTGTATGTTCGGTCTGTGCCTGTTATAACATTTCGCGCAGTAATTTCAACGTTGTTTTCCGAGATTCTTTTTACAGTTCGGACTTTCGAACCAAATGTTATTTTTTTTGATAGATCAATAGTTTTCTCTTTTGTTCCAAATTGAGGTTTAATAAAGTTCTTGGCAATGGTATCCATGCCATCAACAGGAGTTTGCAAGTCGTTTGCCCACCATTTGCTTAATTCATCTCTTAAATGTTCAACCAAGCTAGTTCCAAACGCAGGGCTGTATGTTGCAACCTAACAAAAATAAAGTTGATGTAAAAAAAAAACAACTTTGGTTTATCATATTACTAATAGTTCTCACTGTTTCAGTTGTACAAATTATATTATGGTATATGAATTTTCTTCCATTTTTGTTGGAACTATATAAGTGTTATGATAACCCCGCCGCATTTTTGCGCCTGTCCCAAGTCAGGAGCCTCTGGCCTTTGTTAGTCTAGTATGTTTTTAATTTTAGTTCATTTATATGTTTTGGAGTTTAGTGTGACGTCCATTTTCACTGAACTAGCACACAATTTTATTTAGGGGCCAGCTGAGGACCACCTCATGCGGGATTTTCTCGCTGCATTGAAGACCCGTTGGTGGACTTCGGCTGTTGTCTGCTCTTTGGTCGGGTCATATTCCCCATTTCCATTCTCAATTTTATCTAAATACTGCAAACCTACTTATTTTCACGAGTGATTTAATTTCGCCACTCAAGTTCGCGATTAGGAAATACGAGAATATAAATAGTCGCGAATATTTAAAATCCATGTCTTCCGTTAATGAAATAGATGAAGGAAATTAGAAAATCGCGAAAATAAGCCAAAGGCTAAAAGCAAAATAAATTATTCGCGAAAATAAGTTGGTTTACAGAAGTTATGTAATTCAGTCTTAAACCTTGAATCGAAAATTAATGTAATTTTTACGGAAAGAAATAAACTTTGATGCAGAAATGATATTCATTTGTAAGGTTTTTCATATAAATGAAAACTTTCGTACGATTTCGTCTTTTGGTTCTAACTTTTCCATATAAATACGATATGTCCTTGGTTGATTCTAAATATTGTCTCGTTATATTTTATTCTAAAACTTGATTATTTAGTTTCTTTCTGGTTTCATAATACTTTTTTGGGTGTATAATCCGTACACAGTATAACTTTGCAAAACATGTAGCTTGCAAACAAGCGCTGCAACCTAAGCTACTAGTCCTATAATATAAGACTTCGGAGTTTCATATCATTTACATTCAACGTTGAATGTATTTCAACATTGATAGTAAACAAAAATATCCGATAAAAAACGTTGAATGTAAATGATATGAAACTCCGAAGTCTTATATTATAGGACTACGTGGATGGTAAACTTGGAATTGATAGTAAATAGCAAATACAATTTAATTTATAGTATATCAAGGACGTATAACTATATGCATGTATATGTATGTTCATAGAGTACAGAAAAACGCGAAAATAATTGAAATTATCAGAAAACAAAAAATAACGGACTTTCGAAAAAGGGGGAGGGCTAAAAAAAAATGTCCTGTCCCCAAGTACCTATGACTTTTGATACCTTTCCTGAAATTCTCCAGTCATAAAATCTTTTACAAAAATGCATCCTACAACAGTTAACATACTTTCAACCTCGCTCTAAATGCCCGCGATTTCGCGGGTGTGTTCTAGTATATATAAAAATATATCATAATGATTTATACTCAAATTCAATATAAGCCGTCTAAAGAAGAACCTAAAAGGCAAAAAGTCATGCATTACCCGTAATCCCCTGATAGCTTCTTCCGGCCATGGTCGGTAAATAGAGTCGCCATTTGTTCTTAGGAACTCCTCTACCGAAAGTTTGCTCCATTTTTCAACCCATTCATTCCAACCAACATGTGGCTCTTTTTCATTAATTAATGAAAACAGTTCTTTTATCACTGGTTGCATTGTGCGCTCATATAAATCAACTATAATAGTTTGAGAAAAATTAAAATAGTTTCTCTTGTTAACATTGTATTTTATATTTTAGTTCCCGTTTTTAAATTAAAGCAAAAATATTAGTAAAGATATGGCCTGTCTTATTTTTCAATTGCCCTTTTTCGTTTTTGTGTACAGTGGCTAAACTGATGAACGAGAACAATAAAAAATTACATATTCTTATGATCGAGTCAAGAAAATCAATAGTAAAACAATGCCGGTGACGATACTGATCAAAAAGTTATTTTAAAAAATAATCGTACACTTTAAAGAAATTATTTGTTAAACTGTGTTATAAAAAATATATGTGCAAAGAAATATAGATTCCACCACTGCAACAAGTGTGTTACGATATTTATCCACTCGAGACAGTTAGATTTTAATATTTAATGCGCGAGGCTTGCCGAGATTTTTAAATAATTAAAATTTAAATGTTGAGAGTGGAGAAATATCGTAATACATGAGTTATAGTGGTGGAATCTGTTTCTCTAATGATTTTTATCCTTCCTTTTCAAAGATTTGCAGACAGTTGTGTTCTTTATATGTGACGTCATCAGGAATGGTCGCCTTTTTCATGACGTCACAATTGGAAATTCAGAAGAAACCAAGAAAATTTGCCGTCATAATTAAATTTCGACCAATCATTTGCCGAGAACAGATATTTCACAATCGGTTGAGAAATGTGAAAATAGTGAAAAAATTAGAGAAACGATGTTTTATGTTCATTATTTACAGAGAGATAATTGCATTAGAAGCTTGTGAAACTGAAATTTAAAAATTGTCAATCTTTGTTGCATATTGATAAAAAAGTTGGGAAAAATCATTACGTACAAAATCTAAAGATCTTTCAGGTAAAAAAATGTTCGGAGTGTTCCACATAGTATATTTTTCACATTTTACGTTTTCGTCTGCTCTTGTCACGTGAACTTTCAATATAGAAACATCGTCTTTTCGTGAATATAACAATTTAAATGTCATGTTTGTGCAGGTTAAAATATTAATTAAAAGATAATTATTTTTATAAAGTAGGTTATCGGTTAAAAGAATTTAACTTTTTTTTTTACAATTTTAAGAAAAGGCCGTCTCGATTTCTGTACATGTATTTGCTGTCTTCTCGATCTATTCACATTCAATGTTTACATCGGGATAAGGTCCGTTTGAATTTGCTTAGTAACTTAATTTCAAAGGTGTAAATCTTTGCTGCATATCAATCGATTCCATTGGAATTTTTCCACTGAACTTTTCTGATGTAGCTGCATACATGTACGGATAATTGGCGTGTTCCAGGGAGGTATACAGTCAGAAGAAAATATATTTAAGTTTGTACTCCAGGAATTTATTCGCATAGCAACATTTTAAACCAATTTTTCACAAAGTTCATATAAAAAGCTGTACTCGTCGTTTGCTATTTTAGGAGGGAAATGATAACATTATATGAACATTTTTTTTTATACTACTCTTATTTTATTGTTACTATTTACCAGAATGTTTATAATTGATAACGTCCTTGCTAAAACGAGACAAACATTGAAAAGATCAAGATGTCTGTGTTTACAGGGGAGGTTATATTTTGTCACTAAATTTCCCACTGTGTAGGCCTGATTGCCTCCGAAGAGTTGTGTGTATTATGCCTTCCAAACTTTTTAATTGAACTGATCAAAGTTATTTCAGAAGTGCGTGTCTGATATGAAATGCAAGGCATTTATTATCAGTTCACCAAGACATTAGAATAAAACAAGAAAACCACAACAAACAAAAATTTTCAGTGGATCATAGCTCAGATTTGTTCAAGTTTCTGTTTTCTGTGTAATAATGTTCGTGTTTTTTTCTTTCTTAAGCAAATATTTTTGATCAAGTTATTATTTTTTTATTGTGTCTACAACAGTTCTATTGCTCCTGACAACTATCTAAACATGGTTTTAATCATTTATAAATATAGTGAGTAAGTTTCAATTTAGAAAAAACATAAGGCCATACGTATCCCGTCCACACTAGGACGTATATTAGCTGGTAGGTTTGAGTCCCATCCAGGAAAACATTTCGTAGAGTACATTCGATTCTTTTCTTTCCAGTCTGAAATGAAAAAGTTCTTATGATTACTTTTGAATTTTTTGGCTAGAAAGTAAGTATAATGTACCTTATAATATCAAACATAATATGAGGCAGGTGCTACCTGAAGAGCTCCAAGTTATTAATTGGTGCATGCACTCATCCCAGATACCAGGCTTAAAATTCGTATACAAAAGACACATCAGTGACGCTCGAATAAAAAAAGTAAAAAAGGCCAAATAAAGTAGGAAGTTGAAGAGCAAAAATTCCGAAAAGTTTTGCCAAATATAGCTATGGTAATCTATTCCTTGGGTAGACAATCCTTAGTATTTCGAAAAAAATCAGCTGTTATGATGGCTTTATTTGTATGTTGACTATCATTTTTTCATTCATTGAACCCCGACATTTTTAACAGTCAATTTATAATTATGTGCATGTTTGTTTTACTTATCAATATTCTTTTTAGTTATCAGATATACAAATCTGTAGGTGGGAAATGGTTTGCTCCTTTTGGTGAAATCAGATAAAAATACTGAAAATCGTTTTCGTCTTTATGATATTTTAGGAAAATTCCCGAAAAAAACGAAAACCGGACAAAAGATTTTTTTTAGCACTGTAGAACTAAATCGACATTTCTACTATGTTTACACCCTTCGAGATTATGAAAATTATAAGGTAATTCTGCATCTGGGCTCATTGATGCTTTCTATAATTTTTCGGAAATAACTGTTCGTTTCTATGTGTGTTGGCGTTTGTTTTTGTTGCACTTGGGTGTTCCTGTTGTTCCTTTGTTTCCCTCGGTTTTGGTTTGTAACCCGGGATTATTTTCTCTCAATCGATTTATGACTTTTGAACACCGGTATACTACTGTTGCCTTTATTTATTTAACGCTGTGGTATTATTATGTGTTACTGTATTGACTGCACTATTGATTCCCCAAGGTATCATTCGTTCGTCCAATTGTAATTGCTTCGGTATAAGCATGATTTAAATTGCATATCTTGTCTGTAAAATTTCCAGTGCAAAAACTAAGGCTACAACTCCGTTTAGACAGACTAACCTAAGACAGATTTGGTTGTTTAATTTCGACCCATTCGATTGTTAAGCTACAAACGTTTAATATTTTCAGAGCAGTGTTATTATTCAATTGTCCATTCTTGTTTATTTGTTCAACTTAAACTGTAAAAATCGTAGCAAATGTCTCTTCAACATTCCAAAAATTCAGTCAAACTTATCAAAGATACCTGGCTTATAATTTGTTAAACCAAGAGTTCCAAATGGTGAAGTCGAAATCATCCCTTCGTAAATTTTACGGACGCCATCACGAGTTGGTTGACCGTTATGGAATAACCGTTTCACAGATGATATCGGATATGTTCCTAATGTCGTAACTACAATACGTACCCTTCCCTTTTCACGAATGTGACCTACCGAATTAGATTATTAACCGGATTTGTAATAACATAAGCAACACGACGTCCCCCTTTGTTAAGCGTTTCGTCTACACAAGCCTCATCAGTGGCACTCGAAACAAAACAGTTGGAAGGTCAAATCAAGTACGAAGTTGAAGAACATTAAAAACCGAAAACTCCGAAAAGTAGTGCCAAATACCGCAACGGCAACCAATGCCTGGGGGTTAAAAACCATAGTGTTTTGAATAATTTAATATTTTATAAACAGTCAATTTACAGAAAATGAACATATCGATGATATTTCATGTCAACGGAATAGTACCTGATGAATATTACTCACGAAAAAACGTGATGTGCGCATGATAATCATATTACTAGTTAACGATTTTTTCCGATCACTGGGTCGATGATACCGGTGCTAGTGTGCTATCAGTTCCCGAAAGCATCATCAACACGCCGAAATGCCATGTCTTTGGCATTGGAATGATTTGAATAATAAATATTTTTTGTTCATGAGGTAAAATTGTGTTACTGTGTTAACCTCAAGAATACTTCTAGTGTTTTTTAATTACAGACAAGAGAGAAAAGCCTTCAAACAGGATATTGCATTGCGTTGAATTATTTACACATGTGGAACAGGATCTGTTTACCCTTCCGGAGCACCTGAGATCACCACTGGTTTTTGGTGAGGTTCGTGTTACACCAGTCTTTTGTTTTCTTTGTTGTATACTGTTGTTTGTCTTTGGTCTTTTTCCTTTTTTGCCATGACGTTGTCAGTTCAGTTTATTTTTGACTTATGAGTTTGAATGTCCTTTTGGTATCTTTCGCCTCTCTTTTTTCTCTCTCTAAAGTATGAAATAATAGTTGACAACGGCATACGGTACAGTTTTGATCCCACAATGATCTGTGGACACAAATTGACATACAAGCAATTTTTTACTGGATAAATTCAAATAAGTTACAAAAAATATACCTTCATCTGCTACTTAAAGACATAAATAAGCTCCATATACTCGTTCTCAAGATAATGAATAAAATCATTGGGAAAACGCATCACTTCCCTATATATATATATATATATATATATATATATATATATATATATATATATACAAGTCTAAATTGAAAACAACGTTAAAACCTATGATTGCGTTGGATAAAAACCGCAATTTTTATACGTGTGCATGTAAAACAAATTTCTTGGTAGAGGGGTCTAAATACAGCACAAACAACATTTTCCAAAAGACCAAAAAAGTGAAAAAGTATATTTTAACAAAACGCATTTGACTAACAGGTCGAACAACGGATGTTCTTAAACCCTGCTGACTGCCATTGGCGATTGCCAAATAAATTGATCACCAGATTAACAACATCTTGAAATTAATTTAATACCAAACAGAAAACAATAAACTTTCGGAAAAGATGATATACCACAAACATGAGGTGCATATATATATATATATATATATATGACACACCTTGATGACGCGAAAATAATATTTTACGTTAACGACGTTATTGCCTGTCATTGTTAAAAATAATATATAAATTATACCTTTTGTTTTAATTTTTTCATGTTCATCTATAAGTATCCAGGTATTACCAGTGTAGCTACAGAATGGTCGTACCAGAATGCCAAATTTCTCAATATATACATTGGTCAGGTAATGGTTCGGGGGAATTCTCATTGCACCACCTGTATATGAAAATCAAAGACAGGTTGGAAATTATATGCCAGTGTCACATGATGGACAGATAGCAAAAAAAAAAAAAAATCCCCACATCCAAACATTTACAAAACTAGACAACAGAAGCCTTTATCGTATTCCTTATAAATAAGAGGATGTGGTATGGGTGCCAATGAGACAACTCTCAAAACAAAGACTCCTAGAAATGAAAAAAAAAACCCCAAACTTTTATGGTAACATTCAAAAAGATTTATGAGCAGTATCCCGAGTTCAATCCTAACCATGATGTTTTTCTTAAATTATTCAACCCATGCAAAATTATTTTGATTTTATAGTTGATGAACAGTTTGATATGCCACTTCATTGCAGAAAAGTTATTTGTGCTGTCATAAACATGTCAACATTGATATGTTTGACCTAAACCGAACATTTTGGACATAGTTTTTTGGACAAAAATATGCCTAATTATAACACAGAAAGATATTTTACACACATTAGCATCTTTGTGAAATACATCTTGTGGAAAAATATCTTTTCAAGTAAAGCCTGAAGGTTGTTTGGTAGATTTTTTATACTTTTTATACCTGCGATTCAAAAAGTTCTGAAACCAAACAGATTGAATCCTTAGACACAACAATTTTCTGAATCAAGGGTTGCGGCGAAAGTTATCTATGGTAAATTAAGAAAACAGTTATTTACCGATGATCAAAAACTAATATTCGATTACGAAGATACCAATCAAGGTACAACAAAAGCCGACGGAATCTCATGAACACCAAATGTAGCGACACCGGAGGCATAAACAGCGTCTCCTGCTATACATGCATCACTCACAATGCAAATCCACACTCAATCAACATATCACAATCGGGAATGAGACACAATCAGTAAAATTACAAGTAAGACGATTATTTTGTTTCCAAGGATCTTAGACTGCAAAAAACATGTTGCTAGTGATTGAGGTACAGCCATATATAGTACTGGTCAACCAATTCACGATGGTGACTTAAAACTTATGAAGTGTCGATGTCAGTCACAGAGTTTTGTGTAAGGGGCGAATCCCTGCTAATGAAATCCGTTTAGTTTGAACATGCACGAGCGTAATTTAGCAATTGAGATAAGTAAACGCCATACGATGTTTCTGATAAGAAATGTGAAGTTGACGACTGGAATGTTGCAGTCATCACTTTTGTAGTCATCAATAATTTTCATTATCGAGGAGAGATCACAATATGAACCAGACCTAATTGTTTCGGTAGTCTCCTTAGTCTCAAGTTTACTAGGGTATATGAAATGCAAGCACTCACTGAAATATGGGTTATTGAATGACAAGACATCATCAATATATCTGAAAATGAAACGAAAGAACTTTGGAAGGTTGTTTTTTTTTGTCTTTGAGAATATTTGGATGCATTCTGCTTGATATGAGGACAAAAACAAGTTGGTGAGTAAGGGTGCACAATTCTTTTCTTTTCAATTCATTTTGGAGAAAAGTAGTGTGAATCGTAGAAAAACAAAGTTTTGATATAAATGCAAAATTATAAAGAATGTGATTAAAAAATTTTTGCTGTTTATCTTTAAATTTTAGAAATCCAAGTTTATAAAACAGTTATATATTATGAAAGATTGTACAAAAACTTACGTTACAAAATACATAATACATAGTTTAGGAGTCTTAACTTTATAATTTATAATATAATATGCCAAATAGAAATTATTTAGTGTCACAAGTTGTATCCCAACTATGTAAACTTTGTAATATTTTGGCCAGATTTAAAAACATAGAAATATCTTCAATTTCAAACCTTCGTAAACCTAACGTGTTGTTTCTCTTGTATTCTTTTCAGTTTGTTCTTAAAAATTGTGAGATTAATTGTAGGTTTTTTCACTCATTTAATTGTTAAACAGAATACAACTATAATCAGATTTTTTTAACTGATTGGGGGAGGGGGGGGATATAATCAGCATTACTGATTTCAAATCACCTACCAGTGTCATCTAACAGCAATACAAAGGAACTGATTGTATGACATGTATGATATTGAACAAATAAAACAGTTAACTTTTATCATCATTTACATGTGCTTAAGTTTAAGTGTTTTAATGTTTCGGATTGTATTTAACACAGTTCATTGTGGTTACCTCTGTCAGTATTTAATCTCAAAATGATTTCTGTATCAAATAGTGTTTTCATGGTTTACTCCGGTTTAAAATGGAATTTATATTCGAAATAACATAAAAAATGTGGTGCACACTTTAAAATAACATAATACAAAAACTAATGTAGCAATTCAGTCTTATTTCAAACTGAAACAAATAAAATAAATTTTATCCTTAAACGCAATGATTGAAAGACACTATATTGATAACATGTGCTATCAGTCGACTACAGTCAGATTTTATGGACTCCCTCTTTTGAATTTACCTTGGAGTTCGGTATTTGTGTTATACTTTGTTTCTTAACTAGTTAGTCAATTAAGCCAAACAATTTCTAAACTTACAACTTTAATTAATAATATTTTCAACAATGCTTATTGCATTATGCTAAATGAATCTTATATCCATAGTATGACCTTATATGATTGTGATAAAATTTCAAGTTTTTATTAGTTTACGATATTTATATTCAATCTTTTAAAACTTTATTCGAAAAACAATGAAGTGATTTAAAGGAACAAAAAAAACCAATCAGTCGCGGGAATAACATGAACATGATCAAAAGAAAAAAGGGAAAAAGACAAACCATATCAAGAAAATACTACATTAAAACAGATCTTCTAAACAGTAAAATCCTATACGATTCTAAATTCTAAGTAAAGTAATTAAGATCCTACTCTCATAGATACTCCTTTTCGATAATCCTTACAGGCAAAAATTAAGGCGACAGTAGTTTACCGATGTTCAAATCTAGCAAATCGATTAGGAATAGACAAATCAAGGTATCAATCACAAACTGAGGGAATTGCATGAACATCAAAAGTACATCGACAGGGTTAGCGTCTCCTGCTATGAATGCACCACCCGACATACGAACTCAAAGTATACAAAATATCGTAATCGAGAAAAGGCTACACTCGGTCAAATTACAGATCAGACGCCGTTACTAGTATCTTAAAAACAAAGGTGGCGAAAAAAATCGCTAGTGAGTAGAGAGTGTGTTATTGTGATTCAGTTTGTTTTCGATTTATGAATTTGAATATCCCTTTGGTTTCTTAAACCTTGCTTTTACTGCTGAGAACAAAGGTAGCGAAAACATTTCGCTAGTGAGTTGAGACAACGAGACATCATATCGGTCAACCAATTCGTGAAGTAGTGTTACTGCAAGTCTTTTTGTTTTCGAGTTATGAGTTTGAATATCCCTTTGGTATCTTTCACCTCTCTTATACTGCTGAGAAATGGGAAGTTGATAACGGGAGAGTTAAAATCATCACGTTTGTCATAGATTCTAGTTAGAAGTCATGCTGTATTACAGACCTTCTAGTTTCGGTTCCTTTCTTAATTAAGTTCACTAGGTTATTGAAATGTTAGTTATTGAGTGAGGGAACATCATCAATATATCTGCAAGACATCAGGAGATAAACCGTATTTAATGACAAGTTACGAGCCAGGAAAGAAAGACAGAATCGCTGTTAAATTATACAATTAGAAATAAAAGCTACCTTCAGCATGTAAACCAGCAGAGAATTCATCGCGAAGAGTTTGTGTTCTGCCACCAACTCGGGGTTGTAGCTCAAGTATTTGGGTCTGAAATATTAAAAAACAAATAAGACAAATTAATTAGTAATTTATTGATAAAAGGAAGATGGTGACTCAATGAAAGATCGTTTTTTTTTGTTTATTCATGTACTTTTAAAATCCAAACTTACATTGTATCCAACTTTTTCCAATTCAAAAGCTGCCGATAGCCCTGATAGACCAGCTCCAACAATCAAAACGGATTTGCCTGTGTCTCTCTCTTCTATACCTTTTTTTTCTGCACATACATTCCGACCATATTTCATGTATGCTGATTTCAAATCTTTATTAACTATTGTCATATGAAAATCTTTGCAGGCGTCATGTTTTTGAATGCCCTTGCCTGTGTCATCTTGTTTGTTTGGAATTGTCCCAATGTATAGGCGAATAAATATTGGATGCGTTTCAATCCTGCAAAATATACCAGAGTCAAAAGTAATGAATGGTCAGTAAGACACAATTTGATTCAAATGTTTTTTTTGTATTTCAAAACCATCTTGCGCTCAATCATGTGTTCCAAACAAAAAGCACATTAACCCTTCCGGAGAGCCAGGCTTCACTGCCATATTTGAAAGGATAGTTTTCTGGTCTTGTGATTTTATCAAAAAAGAAAGGAAGAAATACCAAATAGCAATCAAAAATCATAATTCATAACCAAAAAGAAAAACGAAGAAACACACCGAACTACAATCTATAAAACAGTACACACAAATCTGAGCTACACGAACCAAACCAAAAACTCTTTTGTCGTAAAATCTAGGTCTCACCGACCCTCATTGTTAATTTCAAGATGCAATTTTATATATAAAGTAGATTTGCTCTTTTATCATATTGTAAAAATTGGTGTAAACGGGGAAAATCTTATTAAAATCTCTTGATTCTTATTGAAATAAATGTATGAATGTTGTGAATATTCCAATATCACATTTTGAAAATAATTCAGAAATAAATAAAAGAGGACATAATACGCCTCTTTCTGGAATAAGAAACAAACTTCATGTACTTTCAAAGCGGTTTGTGTTTGTACCGGCCGACAAAGCAGCCAACAATGTGGTGGTGGTATGCCGTAAATACTACATGGACGTTCTTAAGAATGAAATTTTAAATTCTTCTACATTCAAGTCCGTGCGCTCCACAGAGAGTCATATAGTAAACAAGCATACCATTACCACATCACAGCTTAAGGCCTCATCTGAATATTTGAAGGTCCCAACTATGTATTGGTTACCTAAACTACACAAAAAAAAAACAAAAACAAACAAACAAAAAAATATCGTTTTATCGTGGCCTCTAGTAAGTGTTCTACAACAAATCTTTCAGTGCTTTTAATTTGTTCCTTAACTACTATCAAAGAACTTATCATTAACTTTTGTAATAAAATATATGAAAATATTGTAGGAGTGTAAACATTCTTTGGATGTTTTAGATAAATTACGTGCTTTTGATTGTCCTTTTGATTCTGTTGACAGGTTTGACTTTTCAACTCTTTACACTACACTACCACACATTCTCGTCAAACAAAATTTAATCTTTTTCTTAATTCTCATTTAATCAAATGGTCGTTTGGTAAATCTGAATGCAAATATATTTGCTGTAACTCATTTAAAGCCTTCTTCTTTAATGAGAAAGGTAAATATGCTAGATTTACTTATTGCAAGTGTAGTACAGCTTGAATTGATTGTTTATTTTAATAAATAGTATTTGTATATAATTGTTCATGCATTGACTTATTGACTGACTCTGACAGAGTATGCAGTATGACAGTACTTTGATTATCTATTCACTTAGGTATTTACATCCTGGGTTTTCTATTTCTTTATTCCGATTGGTTACTCTGTGAACTCCTTTGATATTGAGGCACTCTTTTCAAATTCTACACAGAGATATAGAACACTGACACTTTATTGTGATTTATTTAAATTTATTCTTCTTATTCTGGAAACTATTCTTTATATTCAGGTCAGTTATATTCTTTACATTAGTATTTGATGCATGTATTTCTATATTTTTATCTTGGTATGAAAGATATGAATGTGTTATGAAAATGTGTATGAAAGTCCACTTTGAATCCCATGAGTATGAAAGAGTTCTTATTTTTACTTTAAGTTGGTATTTGCAAGACAGAAAGAATATTACAGTTATTATATTATTTGTTCATATTTGGCTGTTATTAGATTCCACCATAGAATATTGTCTTGCATTGAGTTTAACTAGATTATATACTATTTTTGACATTAAGACTTATGAAGTCATATTTCTCTATATTCAGATTCCAGTATGTGAAGTATAAGAGTACAGTAAATTTATAGAGGAGCACTGCTCAGCCCTTGTATTATATACACGGTAAGCTGTGTTCTGTGTTTACATGTTTATTTGTTTACGTGTTGTTTATTTGTACTTAAGTGTTTTAATTAATGTGTGTCTAGTCTGTGTTTGTAATGTGCTATTGTTTAGTTTACGATTATCTCCAAATAGAATAGTGTATTAGAATTGATTACTTTAAATAATGATCGTTGACACAAGGTGTTATTGATATCTGTAGTATTGCATATTGAACAGTTACCAGAAATAGATTTTGGTACAGATGCTTATGATTTGTAGTAAAACAGACTTTATTAGTTATGGTATATTTCGAACTGAAGTTAACTACTTGGATAATTTATATTTTATTTTATTGATATGGAGATAATTAGAGTTATCGTTCTTTGAACGTGTGTATTGTGTCTTATTGTGTGTTTTATATGTTACAGGGTGATTATTTGAGATTGCCTATAAACCGTTAGAACCCTACTCATAGTTATTTACGCCCAACTTGATGAGTCTACACAAGTGTGATGAGATGTTTGTTGCTGTTAGTTTTCTCCTTGACTATATTCATGTACGTTTCGGCAATAAAGTTTATCGACAGGTTGTAGGTATTCCTATGGGCACCAATTGCGCCCCTTTAATAGCAGACTTGTTCTTGTATTGTTATGAATCACAGTTTATTACCAAACTCAGTAAAGACCCGTCTAAATTGCATTTAATTGATAAATTCAACAACACTTACCGTTATCTTGATGATATTTTTTCGTTAAATAATCAAAAATTGTCTAAATATACAGCCGAAATTTACCCAAAGGAACTTACTTTAAAAAAAACGGTAATAACTGTCCTTTCCAAGATTTAGATATTTCAGTTTTACACGACAAACTTTACACTAAAATTAACGACAAAAGGGACGATTTTTCGTTCCCTATTGTTAATTCTCCTTTTTTGGACGATGATGATCCTTTGGCACCATCTTACGGTGTTTATATAACCCAACTCATATTCGCTATACCCGTGTCTGCTGTGACGATTTGGATTTCAATGAAAGTAATCTATGTATTACTGGTAAATTATTAGGTCAGGGGTTTTGTTACCACAAATTACTTAAAACCTTTACTTAAATCTTCCATAGATATAAAGATTCGGTTTTGAAGTTTGGTTGTAGAAAACTTATTTCAAACGGGATAGTACATCTTAATTTTTACGGAGATGTTGTTTACCGAGCCCGGAAATTTAGATACGATCCTGGTAAATTTATCGATCCTTTAAAGAAACTTATTCTAAAAGGTTACCAATTCAACACTGTATTTAGATCTATGAATATTGTTTTTATGGTATTATTATAGATTTTGTTATCAGTAAATTAAAATTAAACTAAATATTATTTTTATATACATGTGCACATCCATGGCTCTACAATCTGTAGATACCTGTTTCTTGGCATTGCACAAAGTCGTGTTTTTCTCTGACTGTTAATTACGTCTTTAAACTAAATCCATTGGATGTTGGATGTGTACTGATTGATATTTTAATCTTAGATGCATGATTTTTTTTATTAGTTGTTTTTGGCTTTGAACTAGCTGTCAGTAACTGCGAGTACTCTCAGATCTGTACTAAGTGTCTTTTTTCTGGAAATGTATAAGCACCCTACCAGGTCCACTTTTTTTTTTAATATGTATTTCTGTTTGTATTCATCTGATGAGTTAAGCCTGTTTCAACTGATTTTGGTAGTTTGTTCTTATGTTGTACTGTTACACCATTGTCCCAGGTTATGGGGAGGGTTGGGCGCCCGCTAATATGTTTAACCCTGCCACATTCTGTATCTGCCTGTCCCAAGTCAGGAGCCTGTATTTCAGTAGTTGTCGTTTGTTTCTGTGTATCATATTTGTTTCTCGTTCATTGTTTTGTACATAGATTAGGCCGTTAGTTTTCTTGTTTGAATTGTTTTACATTTGTCATTTCGGGGCCTTTTATAGCTGACTATGCGGTATTTGTTTTGCTCATTGTTGAAGGCCGTATGTTGACCTATACTTGTTAATTTCTGCGTCATTTGAAACTTGTCTCGTTGGCAATAATCTTTATTACCACATCTTCTTACTTTTATATAAACTTTATTGTCAAGTGATATCCTTTATTTTCTTTACTTATTCAGAATTCATTTTGATATCTTGCTCACTGCTTTTAGAAATTGGATATTAAGAAAACAATGATATCAACGATACCAAACAGTCTTTACGTATGGCAAGTCTATGCTTACGAGATTTTATTTCAGACGATGTCATGTGAAAAAACGCACTCAATTCTGCGCGTTCAACTTTCACAATTAAATACTAAACATTGCCTCCCTTTCTATCCGGTTTTTATGCTATTCCACATCTTAATATAGTAAAAACAATTAATGTTATTAGGAATAATAAAGACCTTAATATTAAACGAATTCTTAATGAAAATGCACGAATTAAAAAAAAAGATTATTTGAAGAATGTCATAAACTTTAAAGTAACATATTGACTTGAAGTGAATGTTTCAATAGACTAAAAAAGCATAATCAACTTTCATCATCTCGTATATCAATGACTGAAGTTAGATTCAATGAAACTCTCAGAGAGTGTTATTTACGTTACAACATGAACTTTGAAATTAAAAATAACTTATCTATATCTAATATGTTCTTACCTCTCAAAAGAAGATGTTCTCCGACTTTAATGACGCTTGACTTGTTTAAAACATAAAATATTTTTCGACCCTCCAATCACAAGTTTGCTTCGTTAGATCATCCTGACGTTTCAAATAGAATTTTCGTTTTTTTACAAGCATGTTCATGACAATTTTGTAATAAAATGGTCAACAAATTTATGAGAATATAGGCTCTGTTGAATTATTTCCTTTTTAATACTTATATATACTATATCCATTCTTTCCTGTGATAATGATAAATACATTAAAAACTACCTGAATTTACCAAAACTGAAAAGTTTTGTAATCTTAAAACATTTCATGTCAGTGTAGATCAGTTGAACAAGCTTACTTTTCTTCGTGTATAATCCTACACACCTTGTTTTCCAGAAAACCTACTTTATACACAATTTGATACCTTTAAAGATATGAGTTACATTTGCACAATGAACAAAATTTAAATGGATCATTCTAAATATTTTTAAATAGAATGAAAAAATAGAAATAAATATTGGTAGTGGGTTCATGACACAGACTCACTACTGATCACTACTCATACAAAAAATAATGACAGAATATCCCTTCAAAGCTGTTTTTTTTTATAAAAGTCACAAACAGCTTTACTTATGTTAAGCAGAATTCATACAAAACATTCTCAACGACAAAAATAACAAAGTTCTTTAATTTAACTTTCACATATATTGATCATGTCATGTCACTTAATATCCCACAAGTCAGCGAATGATTGCTTCTCATATATCCTAGTTATCTAGAAATTAAGGATACGACTCAAGCTAAAAGGTCTGCCTCATATCTTGGGGTTTTTTTTTCCTGCAATATTGACAGAGACGGATGACTTCAAGAAGGAACTATGACAAACCTAATAATTTCAACTTTCAAGTTGTCAACTTCCAATTTCTTAGCAGTCACATACATTTTGTTCCATCACTTTGTAAAATTGATCCGTCCAAAGCCTGAACCTGATAGCATTGATTATGTCAGTTTCTTTTTTTATCAAACCATCTTACCATATCGCATTTTGATACTTTTCAGTGCAGCTATTGATTAAAAATTTTAAAGATTTTAAAGAAACATAACATATTCACTTAGCTAGTTTTTCATGTTGAGATTAATGGCAATGTACTAAAGATAGTACTTTGTAAATACATATACATAATTTTCAAACGACAGGAATTCACATGAATCGAAAGTGTACCACCAAACATGGCGTCACTCGTTATAGTTTACTTTGATGTTCTTGGAATCACCCCTCCCTTTCGGAGGGAGCTTCAAATAATATAAAAATAATATAAAGCTTCAAATAATATTGTCTTTGTATGTAAATCGTACTACTACGAGTGTCTTGTAAAAGAATTAGGAATAAATGAGCACTCAGGTAATCCCACATACAAAAACATATCATTTGACAAAGATGAGATTTTGGCAAATCATAAGTCCTTCATGTCTTCAATGGACATTACATTGAACAGTAAATCTGAGGACTTTTTTTTTTTATCTTTTATTTGTTTTCAATAGTCAGGATTTTACAATACCCCTACAATCACCACCTGACTATGGTTTTTGGGGTAAACATTGAAAGTTATATACAAGACTATCCATTTTAAAAAAAAATTTATATTCATTATCATAATTCAAGAATATAGTTATTAAAGAAAAAAAAAAGAAAAATAAATAAATAAATAAATATAGCTGCTCACACTCACACTTTCTCTCACAACTTACACACAGTCACTGCAATCTTACCATTAGTATGCATGTATGTCTATATATAAAGTAAAAATCAAATCACAACTGCTCACTATAGTATAATTTAAAGTATAAACGATAATAAATCATGAAAAAATTGTATGTAGTGGGGACCAGAATCTTTCATAAGATGCTGCTCTATTATTTTTGTTTGCAATATAAAATTAATTAGATTGGTATTGTTTTATTCTGGATTTAAGTCCTATAAAACTAGGAGCTATATTTCTTAACTTACATCTAAAGATTCTAAAAAGATGTAGTTTTTAGCTATAATAATTAACAAATTTATAAACAAACTCTTAGTAATAAATCCCAGTAAAATTTCCATCTTACTGATGCTGAATTGCTCATCAAATAATTTGATTTTCTGTAAAAATGACAACCAAAAATTGTATGTAACATTACAATCATAAAATAAATGTTCTATTGTTTCCTCTTCCTCATAACAGAAGGTACATAGACTTGTTTCCTTTTGCTTAATTCTATATAAAAATGTACTAGTAGGTATAATTCCATGTAATATTTTATATTGAAAATTCTTTAAATATGTATTACTACAACATCTTTTCAAAAGAGAAAAATACTTAGACTATTCTGAGATTTCAGAATTTGTTACATCCTCCCATATAAATCTGAGGACTTACCTTGTTTGTATTGGATACCTAAGCTTCACAAAATTCCGTACAAACAACGGTAAATTGCTGGCTCATCTGCATGTTCTACAAAGGAATTGTCAATTAGATTGACAAAACTTCTGTCCGCAGTGAAAGAGGGTCTTCAGAAATACTGTGAAACTGTTTACTCGCGCAGTGGTATTAACAATATGTGGATTCTAAAAAAATGTAAAGAACTTCTGGATAATTTTGAATCTCGATCTTTCTCTGAAATTAATTCTATCAAAACTTTTGACTTTTCAACCCTGTATACCACCATTCCCCATGTGAAATTGAAAAAGCGTCTAAAAGAAATAATCCACAATGCTTTTCAATATAAAAATGGTAGCATACGCTATAAATTTATTTCTTTAGGATACCATATGGCATATTTTGTTGATAATGAACAAAAAGGTAAAACACGCTACACAGAGGAATAAGTGATCAGTATGCTGGAGTTTCTTATTGACAACATATTTGTTGAATTTGGAGGTAGTCTTTTTCAGCAAATTATCGACATTCCTATTGAAACGAACTGTGCGCCTCTCTTTGTCGACCTCTTCTTATTTTCATATGAGTCGGAGTTCCTTCATACACTTGTCAAAAACAAGAAGATCAAAGAAGCCAGATCATTTAATTTCACATTCAGGTATATTGATGATGTTCATTTCATTAATAATCCAATTTTTTCTGATTGGGTTCCATTGATATATCCTCCAGAACTAGAAATTAAAGAAACAACATACACGGCTTCCTCCGCTTCATTTTTAGACTTATACCTCGAATTTGACATAATAGGTCATCTCAGTGCCAGAATCTATGACAAACGAGACGATTTTAATTTTGAAATTATCAATTTCCCCCACCATAGTAGCAATATACCAACTTCACCTGCATATGGGAAATACATTTCCTAACTTATTTGTTATTCAAGAGCTTGCAGCTGCTACCATGACGTTATAAAACGTCACCAGTGTCTGAGCAGAGAGTTGATGAACCAGGGTTGTGTCAAAGAATGTCTCGTCCTTTTTCTAAAAAAGTCCATCGGAAGATACCAAGACCTTCACAAATACTACATGATGGTCTTGAAGTATATATTCTATGTACTGACGTTGTTCATCATCTTAATTACGTGTTATAGTGTTCTTTTATTTGTCTTTGTAAATTATTAACCTTTCCTATTTAGTCCATTTTTGGTAATATCCTTTCGACGTAGCTCAGTACTTATATGCATCCCGCCAATTTGTTATTGTGCTATCGTCATTTTTTGTATTCTTGTCTTTCAGTTTTGCTTATGTGCTTTGTCTATATGCCATTTTGTTTGTCTTTGTTGACATATTTGGTTGTTTTATAGTGATTAAGATTATAACACAAAGTTGTCGGCTGAATCCCTATTTTTGACATTTTTAACTATTATGTTGGTTTGTTTTGTTCACACATTGTTGTCAATATTATGGAATTTTATGCCGCTTTCATACAAGTGAGAGGTTTATCTAGCTATAAAACTAGGTTTAACCCATCATTTTCTACATAAGGAAATGTCTGTACCAAGTCAGGAATATGATAGTTGTTTTCCATTCGTTTGATGTGTTTGAGCTTTTGATTTTGCCATTTGATAACGGACTATCCGATTTGAATTTTCCTTGGAGTTAGTTTTGTAATTTTACTTTTTTCGGCTTAATTGTCAAAAAACACTTCTTTTAATTTTTGTCAACCTTGAAATTAAAGTTTAAATAATTCAAATACCCAGAATAAGGAAGTTTTATATATGTGAATAGAATAAGGAAGTTTTATATATGTGAATGAATTTAAACTAATTTATAAAGAAAATCAACAAGTTGGAATTCCACAGGACAAAACCATATACCTAGACAACAAAAGATGTTTTAATTTTGCATTACAAAAACTATTATAGACCAAGATTTGAAAGATAATCTGCGGATGTCTTGATTGAATTATGTAATAGAGCTTAACAAGATATTTAAAATATTTTCTCTAATTCTTACCCGATTTATCCTTTTTCCTGACCCGTTGGTTATATTTATTTATACATTATCTCAGTTCTTCATTGGTCAAAATTCGATTATAACGTCAAATTTTCTTGCTCTCTTCCGAGAATCTTATTGTGGCGTCATGAAAAAAGGCGACAATGTCTGATGACGTCACATAGAAAGAACACATCTTTTTGCAGAACATTCGAATAGAAAGTTTCTATTTGTCTGCATATCGTCTATAACTCATTAGAGAAACAGTATCCACTACTAAATCTCGTGCAATACGACATTTATCCACTCTCGACAGTTAAATTTGAAAATTTAACTGTCTTCGAGTGGATAAATATCGTATCATACTCGATGCAGTGATATAATCTATATTTATATGACATGCATCAAGACCCCTCAGTGGCTTTATTTTGTTACATTTTAATGTGTATTGTCTTTTATGGAATTTATTGGTCAGATCTTTGGTGATGAATTATTTATACATGTAAAGATTCTTCGAGCTTGACAAACAGCACTGCATTGACATTTACCTTTTGTTGAACAGTATTTTGTTGATTTCTAGATGTCTTTGGCTTTGACTGCCGTGGCGTATACCCCACATCGATTTCTCCTTTTTTATGTATAATTTGATTGGGTCTTATCCAAATCGGTATATGTAACAAAATAAATATCAACAAACTTCTTCATAGTTTCTTATTAAATATAACAGATGGATCTCTCTCTCTTGCATGTCCGAACTATAAACTATACCCAATTACCCATATTTCAGTGATTCCTAACATCTCATATATCCTTGTTAATTTGAGATTAAGAATACTACATACATTTCAGTGAGTGCTTCCATCTCATATATCCCATAGAAATTGATATTACCGAAACTAGAAGATCTGCGTCGTATCTTGTTGTTTTCTGTGATATTGACACAGATGAACGACATCAAACTAAAACCCTTCTATTAAAAAAAACAAAATACATAATTACAAAA